TGTTCCAGTCGCCCCTTTAGTTACCACCTTTCGAGCTCATCCAGATTTCATCGAACTCCCTAAGAGTAGCTTACAACGGGGACTTGTAAGTGGACTGCGCCGCGAAGATCGCCAGATGTTGTTCTCCGTCATGCATTTTCCCCACGCCTCCACCCCATTCATGTTCATTGATGTCCCCTCCGTTGCCACGCGAGCACAGAGCAAATCTTTGTTCAATGAAAGAGAAGCCAAAATTAGTTGGGAGCTAGTAAACCTTCTCCTTACCTCAAGGATATCTTCGGATTCTATTTGTATAATCCCATTCTATAGAACAATATCGCCGCCTACGCCAAACAGCCACCGACATGGGAGTCGAACTTACAACAGTGGACTCCGGCCAAGGACGAGAAAAGGAGGTGGTAATCCTATTAACAACGTACTGAGATTGACCCACATTCAGCTGAGTTCCTGAACAACTACCGCCGAATGAATGTAGCCATTTCGCGTCCGTCAGGGACAATTCATCCTTGGACATTCCGTTATGCTACGACGCATTCCGTCATGGAATAGTGTTCTCGACTAGTCATCTTCCATCAACGCCATCGTCAAATGCACCGATCTTCGTCGGTATTTCTAAAATTTCTCCCACGTAAACGGTAAGTTCTTTCCACACATCCCTCTTTTTAAAGTCTACGACGGACTTAGAGGAAAGGGGGAAGGTGTAAGAGCGGCGTATTGTAGGAGCGTTGAATGTAAGCTTAGACTTTCTCATAGCTAAACTGACTCATCATTTACAGGGCATGGCTAAGCGAGCGAAACCAAGACGGGAAGCACAGTCTGTGGAGCTGAGGAACGACCGGCTCGAGACGCCGTCTTCTATCCGTGGGCTGCTGCGTGCCCCGTCATACATAGCAGATTCATCTCCACCTCAGAATCCCGTGATATGTCTCCGTGTATTCTTATACTGCCGTCTGTTTGATTCCTAATAAACTCTACGTTATCCTGGTGTGAGGAAAGATGTAGGAAAAGCACGTTTCCACTGCGCTTACGCTTATTATTATCGTGTTCGCTTTATCGGCTTTTCTGAGATTGTAAAGATCGATCCCCCTCAAAGGACATGGCACGCCAGACTAAAAGCGCTGGGAGAGGCTGGCCTGGGATCGCAAAGACTTATTCCACATTCTTTTCGTGGTGGAGCTGCTACTAGTGCCCTCAAAGAAGGATCTGATTCTCATAGAGTAATGCTCGCTGATAGATGGAAATCTTCCTCCTCTTTCAGAGCATATGTTGATACATTACCTATCTGAATTTTCTTATCCTCAATTCATTACGTTATTTCAATGTGGACAGGGTACCAATATTCTCCTTTGTTTTTGATTTGTTAGGTGATCTCCAGAAGGCACTGATTACGGCCACCGCTTACCATATCTATATTTGTCAACTCGTAGCTATTGCTTAATCCGTCTTTCGCACAGTACCTCAGTCATTCCACTTTTTACATGGTTTACATTAAAACACTACCAGCAAATTCATACCCAGGTAAACTCTCTGCGGTGTATCTTGATCTCCATATGGTGATTATTCTCTTCTGTTCTGTGTATGTCAAATGGTTCAAAATTGTGACATTTGTGCTCGATAAAGCCTTAACTCTCATATGTGAAATTCAAAACGGGTATTTGACCGTAGATCCGTAGGATGGTGAAATATAATGATGTCCATCTCTTTTCGTTTATTTTAGAAAGAAAGCACAGCGAAAGCCAGTACAGCCGGACGGATATGGTACTAAAGAGAGTTTTAAAGTAAGCAAATTCAACTAAGAATCAGCTTAAAAGCGGTAAGATTTATACCGAGGTCAAAGTGTTGGTGGCTCACATAGAATTTTAAACAACAAAAATCAGGAAAGACGATACATCTAAACTTACAAAAGAAATGATAATTCACTGCATGAAACATCTCAACAATTATTACATACTCGTAACTATGCTTAGTATGCAATGGTATGAAATGTATTCAAATGTGTGCAACCTCCTCCTCTTCTTCTATCGCTTCTTCTTCGCTATCCTTCGCATATGGAACAAGTTTCGGATAACTGTCCGCTAATAGGCGGGACAGCACATCACTCTGATCATCGTCACAGTACA